CCGTGTCAAAATTTAGAATGAAAGAGTTTCGAGTTACACTCAGATTTGAATGTATTGTTATTTTTGTATATCATGGTGCTTCTTCATATCATACGCTTAGGTGCCGAAGTAATTTCACACACCATCGATGAACGAGACCTACTGAAGGTTGAGGCGATTCTGAGGCGGAAGCCTTTGATCTGGGATAACATCCACAACAATGATTATGACTGTCGCCGGCTGATCCTCGGCCCGTTCTCCGGTCGGTCAACGAATGTCAAGCATCTTATATCCGGAATCCTGCTGAACCCAAATTGTCAGGCCGAGGTCAACTACATTTGTTTCCATACGTTTGCCAAGTGGAACGAATGCAAGGTCGATGGTCGAGTCGTTTCAGGTAAACCAACCGATGAGTTTTACATTCAAGTGAATTAAGCAGTTCGCTGCTGTTATGTAGTGCGAAATACTTTGCCACATGTTGCTTCAGACCAGGATTGTTCAGTCGATAGAGCGTCGGATTCACAGCCGAAAGGCCTCAGGTTGAAGCGCGGTCGAGGTTACTCACTTCTTCCTCACGAGGTTGGTAAATGAGTATTATTCTGTCACTCACCCATTCACTGGCTTAGTGAAACTTACTTAAGTGAACCTTAAGATGCACGATAAGTTTTCAAAACCCTGGATATAGAAGTGAGCAAGTACTAAAGAATAAAACGAAATAGCACGGAGATCTGAGCCGCACCATATGCTTCTGACAAGAAATTGCGTCACAGATGGCCCCTAATCGTGAAAATGTTAGACAGACCGATATCCCATCGGATGCAAATTTTCCTATCTATTCCTTACTGTAGCTGCTCAATTCATTGCGATTAACTTTTAGAACATAATTCAATTTACTGACCTTCGTGCAGCCAGCTGAAAGACGTGTAACAAATCGCTGATGTGCGAACAGCAGGTTTTGATATTCTGGGGTGGTAATGGTAGAGATTGCGAGACATGTCGCTATGCTGTCTCGTGGGTAGGCTTAAGTCAGCATAAGGTATAATCCATAAATAAATAAATGAATGGGAAACAACTTCACCGTTATTCGCCCAGAGTGCTTCTTCCCGTCTTTCATTCCTTTACTCTGTCATTGTTCCATTCCCAGCCACAACGATGACAAGTGGATTGTCGAGATTTAACTCCAGCTTGTGCCTACGTTAACTAAAAGAGCCCAGAATTCCTTTCCGGAATGGCACGATATAGTGATTTTATTATGCAGTAGGCCTTAAATGTTTTGAGCTATATTTGGGCCGTGAAAAAAATAAGTTTTTACTGTAGAGATGGCTGAAGGACTGTTGACATTTTTAATGTTTTGGTTTTGCAGAAGAAGACGCAGAGCTTGAAGCTGGCAGCAAAACGGAAATGGAATCATTTGGTGCTCAAGCAGATCTTGCGTATTTTCCGCTGAAAGCATTAAGAGATGCAATACATGGCTGGGTTTCAGAGTTCAATAACGCCCGCAGTGTCTGTTTTCCGTTTTCTCTGACGAAACGGCCTCTGAGTACACTCGGCAACGGTGCGGAAGCGGACGGGTAAGATATTTTTCTGTTTTGTATGCATCTATAGAGTTTTGGCTGAGTGTTTGGGAAAAGGCTGTCTTTGCCGGTTGACAGAAATTTTCCTTATTCTTGGTCACAAGGCTTTCTCAGACAGCGGCAAACTTCTGTTTTGTTTATATATTATTTTGTATATTGTTTTTTTTTATTTGTGGTTGGGAGCTTTCGTTTCGATATATGTTTATCTATTGCTTATTTTGCCATTTTAAAGCTAATTAAGTTTTGTTTTCCAGCAATCCTGCACGTGCTGAAACCATGGATGAATCGATAAACAAGTCACCGTTTAGTAACGTTACAGTGTTTGCTGTCGATTTTAGGAATGCGTGATCTTCGTTTTTCTAGACTGTTCCCTGTCATCGTTGGCAACCGCTGCGGCGGTTACCGTGAATAGTCTGGCCGATGACTACAGCGAGCCAATGGAGCTGACGCAGACTCAGCCAGCGTATTGCCAAAGCTTTACCGACAACA